TTCTACCACAGACGCCACGACAACTTAAATTAAAACGAAATAATTTGATGAAAGAAGCTCGTAAGGTCAAATCGAGAATTAGTTGGAATACAGGGGCAATGCGGAAAGCTATAGATAAAAGGAATAAACAGCGACGAGAGTATAACAAGATTAATGAAACAATCAGTTTGGTCCATGAACTGAAGAAAGTTATCTATGGGTAAATTATTTGTCCGCACTTATCTTGTTTAAGTGTGAAAACTGAGAATATATGTCCAAGATTCGTCACATCGGAACTCAGAGCTCGAACATTCCATCCCTGCGGAAAGATTTAAAAGTTATCAAGCTTATAATATCGTGTAAGAGTAGATCTTCCACTTAAAGTCGTGTGAAATATGAAATTTCGTTCTTTTGTACAAAGATGTAGATAATTTTTAGCATGGTGTGTTGCGTTTTTTCTTTTTTTGTAGACCACGTGTAAAGAAATTTATTAGTGTAATTTGTTAACGTAAAGTGCAAAATTATACTGAACGGAATGCCACAGAAGATGTGTTGTTGAAATTACCTCGATAGATCTGGGCGGTTCTTAGATGGTCCTTTGTCAGGGCAAAACCTTCGCTCTGACGAAGAGCTAACGCTCGAAACGTCAGCTTAGAAAGTCTTTAAAAGGCCAATTTACATTATCATTTAGCTGAAAAAACCAAATTACCTTGTTATACTTCCCCACCGACGCAACGCCACAGTTTCTTTAGAAACTTACGGTCCTCCCTTTTGACAAATAATTTTAGTTCATTGTTGTAATCTAATTTGCGCTTCTCTCCCAGTGTCCAACGTATTATCTTTATTTTATACAAACTTAACAATTTTAATCGTTGGTATGTCTTTATGAGTTGTTTTTAAACAGAACAGGATCGATTAACTCGTCTAAAATGAAAACAAAATCGATTCGACAATTGCATGTATTTCCATCTGTACTTGTGACAGATTTTTTTTAACATACCCTAACATTCTGATGGTCTCAATGAGGTGATGGCTTTTATTGCTTACGTTTAAAAATTTGGCCACTTTAGGTTAACAGTTAATTTCTTTCCGTCACGGTTAAGGGAAAATATTTTACGGTCAACTTTTTCACGTGTAACCGTTAAAATTTGTCAATTTTTTACGCCTGACGGCCATTTTTTTGAAACGCCATTGAGATCCTCCATTTTACGTCTACATCTACAACTATGAAGTTGGTAAAAGCTGTGCAGACATCACACCAACTATTGTTATACAAAGATATAAAGAATATACAATACTCGCATGAAATTAATGAAGAAATTCGGATAGTAATTTTATAACTGTTTTATTTAAAATAGAAGGATATGAAATAAATTTGCCTAGTGATGGTTAACTAAATAGAGGAGTAACTTAGAGTTAAGGACAGCCAAGGAGTTTGACTATTTCCGCAGGTAGCTTATTTCATAATCTTATGGTCCTTGAGAAAAAGGAAAAAAAAATAAATGTTCTTTGTCGCCATATCTTGCCTATATTTAAAACGACGACTCCTTCGAGTTCTAACTTCAGAATGAGGTTGTGAATAGCTATTTACATCAAAATCAATTTGTCCACGGCTCTATTTATATAAAAGTTTCGGACGAGTTATAGTTCTTCTTAATTCTAAGCTTGCCCAACCTAAATCTTGAAGCATTTCAGTACCGCCAGCTGTATGAGGATAGTTGGAGCAGAACCGAGCCGCTTTCTCTGGATCCTTTCAAGCGAAGCAATGTCCTTTGGGAGGTATGGGTTTCAAGTGGCACAGGCATATTCAAGCTTCGGACGAACTATGGGTGCTTGGGCAGATGCCTTAACGTTTTTTGGACAATTCCAAAGATTACTTTTTATCATGGCCAAAACTTTACTCACTTTCCCGGAAACGGGAGTGACGTGTTTGGGCCATTTCATATCTTCATTCAGTAATACACCCAGATAGGAAATATACTCAACCTGATCCAGTTCGACTCCACAGAAAATGTATTTCCTTTGTGGGGGTACCTTTTTGGTGGAAATGCATATTGTCCTGCATTTTGAAGGGTTGAATACCATTTGCCATTTGGTATGCCACACTTCTAGTTGTCGTCGGTCATCCTGCAGTTGGTCACCGTCCTTCACCATGGAGATGACACCGTATGGCAATGCATCGTCAGCGAAAAGCCTAAGTGAGAATCTAAGGTTGTCGGGCATGTCGTTTACATAGAGCAAAAATAGCAGCGGACCCAAGACTGTGCCTTGCGGGACACCCGATGTCACTGGTACAGGTTTAGAACATTTGCCATCACAGACGACTGACTGAGTGCGGTTCGTGGGGTAAGATACAAAGCAGTTAAGCAGAGGGCCACAAATACCATAATGCAGTAGCTTACTTAAGAGACGTACATGGGGGACATTGTCGAAAGCCTTGCTGAAGTCTAGCACAGCAGCATGGACTGACTTGTCATCTTGAATAGACTTGGCCATGTAGTGAATCGTCAAAATTAATTGTGTTACCGTAGATCGTTTTGCGCTGAAGCCATGCTACGCATCTGTAAGAATCGCGTAGTACTGCAAATCTTTCATCACATGAGTATGGACTATATGTTCAAGAGTTTTGGACGCTATGCATATTAACGAGATTGGTCTATAGTTCACAGGGCTTTATTTATCTCCGCTCTTGTGGACGCCGCATACATTAGCATGTTTCCATTTAGATGGGACGCACTCAGTGTCGATAGGGGTTTGATAGATAATCGTTAGCATTGGGTTAATTTCCTTTGCATATTCCTTCAGGAACCATGGAGGTATCACATCTAGACCAGATGCTTTGTGTGGCTTTAAGGATTCTAGCTGCTTAGTAAGGGTACCATGTTTGTTTTCATGTCGGTAGCAATAACTGGAATATCGGTGAGGTCTTCATGAGCATTTACGTTCGAAGAGTGATTGCTCAGGAATTCCGCCTTCAGATTTCCATTGCTTATGATTTTATCGTCAACTTTAAAATTTGCTACGCCAGGGTCGTCGTTTTTCAATTGTTTAACATATGTCCAGAAGCGCTCAGGATTTCCTCAATAGCCTCACCCAGGTAGTTTGAAATGTAATTTTCTCTCGCAGACTTCACGCTCTTGTGTAACCGTTATCTGGCGGCACGAAAATCATTGCAGTGTGTAGGATTTCCCGATTTTTTAGCCTTGTTGTAAAGCCGTTCTTTAGCTTTTGTTTGTCTTCTTCGCGACCGATTGAACCAGGCGGGACATTATATCTCGAGCAAGCCATTCTTTGCGGTATGCAAGTGTCATTATTCGGTGAATATTATTTTCAAAATTGTCCCACATTTCATCAATTGTTGTGTCAGAGTTTTTAGTTTCAGTCAAGTCATAAGCAAGGTCTTGTAGTTCCTTCTTTATATGGGTAGTGTCCGCTCTTTTCCTGATGTAGATCTTGCGTTTCACGGGTTTTTTCTTCTGTATGCCAAGTTCACTTCATATAATACTATGTCGTGATCACTTATCCCCGGAATTACTCTTACACTATTTACGATTTCAATACTATTTACTAGAATGATGTCAAGGATGCTATCCTTTCTGGTGGGTTCTTTGGTTGAGTGAACCCATGCTCACCTGAACGATTTCAAGTAGTCGCTCAGAATTGGAGGAATGGCTTGTCGCGTCGAAGTTCGCCCATTTGAGATACGGAGCATCAAGGTCTCCCGCCACAATTACGTTGTTTGAATTCAATCTATCACCCACTTGAATAGAGATGAGTCAAATTCTTGGAGACTATGCATATCATTCATGTTGAGACGATAGAAGGAGGCAAGGAATAATGATTTTGATTCATTATTTTGAATCTGAGTCTAGATAATCTCGCAATCGGTACTTAGGTCGTCTCGATGAGTAACATCCTTTTTCACAGCTTGGAAAACACCTCAATGGTTGTCAGTCAGCTGATCTTTCCGAAAGATGATATAGTAATCTGGAAAAATTTCGTTGTTCTTGATACCCGGACGTAGCCAGGATTAATAACCGAGGATTATACCTGGCTTTTATTCCTCGACATTTTGGTTACCTTTAAGAGGTTTGGTACAAACACCACAAGGATGCTTATAATGAGGACCTGAATTCCTTTCAGCTTTGCCACCAAGCAATAGTAACATTGGAAGAAGTCGCCGGAAAGTATCCTTTGAAGACGGAGCAAAGATGGCGGAACTAACGAGGTCGGAAAGAACGATTTACGGCCGCCTCAAGTCCTCCCCGAATGGTCTGTTTGGAGATCAGAGTTATATTTAAGCCAAAGTCGATGTACTTTTCCTGAAATCCATGCGAACTTGATAGTATTGAAAGCAAATGTATCCCGAATAGGAGCAAAATCGCCACCTGAGCAAGAAGACGTGTCACACCTAAATATCTGCTGACAGACTAAACTCTGCCTCAGATCGTGTTAACTTAATTGATCTATCTGGTATGCCTTGAAACATTCGATTGACTCTTACCGTTGCGATTTCCGTAACTATCTTAAATCAGTAATCATTCTCGACCAACTTTTTTAAAAGTCCTTTTGGTGTACGATTTCAGAAAGCCCGCTTGGTGCGCGTTGCGGTCCTAGCTCTCAAAAAATCACTGACTCGTTCGTAATATGTAAGACCCGAGAAAAAGAATCATATAAATGCGTGCTACTTTTGTTTTCACTTATGATTCTTCCCATTAAGCAATTTGTGTGTCGTTTGCATAAATCTATTTAAACTCGTTAGCAGTCAAAAAGTGGTTCTAAAGCCATAGTACAGAGTACCCTTCCTGAAACGAAAACTACTAGTTTATCGCTATCTCTGAACATAGTGCTCACTCATTGCAATAAAAGGGAACGATAAAAATTTTCACAGGCAATTAAAGATCTGTTGTTAAAGTTATTATGTTTTATCCGTTGCTGTGGGGATGTTTATAAAGTTTACTTCGTTACGCAGGATCGTACTCAAAGACCCGTGAAATGACGTCACAACACTAGCCCTCGCGACAGTAAGTCATATTTCCTGGTGAAATATTCTACCGACTTTGTGTCGAGTTGTCCCTGATGACCTTTTAATTCGACTAGAACGATCTACTCTGCGATTCTCACCCTCCAACTGTTTTTAATGGCCGCTTGGAACTAATTTAGATTTCTCTTGCTGTTGGAAATTTTTTAAATTTCCGTGTGTTAGTAGGAGTGCGACTCGTGAAGTTTGTCGTTTGATCGAAGCAAGCTGTTTTAAAGTTGGGTTTGAGGTTAGTGACTTTCAGTCAGAATGAGTGACAAAGTAGCTTCTGAAAAGCTTGAGGCCGATGAACAAAACCCAGTCGATAACGTTACAGGGGAAGAGTCCGCTATTCGCCCAGCAAAGAAAGCAAAGAAGAAAGGTAAAGGAAAGAAACGTAGAGAATCAGTCGAGTCCAGAGGCGAAGACGACGAAGGAGAAATTTCACTTAAAAGGAAAGGAAGGAAAAAAGTACTTTCTAAAGAGAATGTATCGTCTGATGTGCAACAAAAAGTCGAAGCTGAAGGCGACGATAAAAAGTTGGAAGCTTCGGTCACCGTAGATGAAGGACTGAAGGAAACAGTGATCGAGATACAAGCAGGCGAGAATCAGCCGGATGAACTTGAAGAAGTCGTAGTCAAGAAGGAATCGGCTTTTATCGAAGGAGATAACAAAGCTCAAGAAGCTGGGGATTCAGCTGAGGCCAGCGGGGAAGAAAAGAACGATGAAAAGAAAGACAGCGAAGAAGAGTCGAAAGATGTCGAGAGCCCGACTGTACGTAGGAGAGCGACGTTGTCTGATTTACGAAGTGAAAGCATTGACAAACAGGACGGAGAGAAAGCTGGAACTACAGAAGCGGCTTCTGAGGTACGATTTTACTTCCAGCAACTGTATTTTGAAGAATCATAGGTTGATGAATATAAATTAAAAATCTAATTCAAGTCTGACTGAGACTGGTCTGTCAAACTGTTAGTCCAGGAATTCTTGATTTCACTTTCGTGAAGTCCATTCCGGATTGGAAGGAGCAACTGCAGAATACCCTGCCACTTCGGTCCAACTCATGTAAATGTGTTGAGCGGCTTTGAAGATCGAGGCATGACACAATGAACGTTATTCTTATTCAATGACATGTGAATGAGTGGCAGGGTATTCTGCAGCTTAGCTCTCACTTTCATTTCCAGGTTACATGTAGTACCTTGAGGACATTTCTTGAATGTATTTCTTTTAAGTGATATTTCACTCTTGTCATTTATTAATGTAAGCTGATTGGTTCACTTTATTGGTATTTGTGTTCACTAAGTTATAAAATTATGGTATTGAGTACCCTTTAAGGCAAATGCAGAGGGATTTATTGTGGTGATACACAAGATATCCATAGTTTTTTTTTTTAACTATATAGGTATGTTGGTTGCGTGAGTTTTAGCCTAGGCCAGTTTTCCTGGTACATTTTGACAATAAGAAAAATTTCAACTAAACTTAAGATTTCCAGAGTCAGGTCACAGTTTCATTTACTCAATGAAGCTGTGACACCTTTACGACTTAATGATTTGAACTCTAAGATGGAATTTACACATGAACCTGGAAATGAAAACTGCACACCCTTTTACTGTAAGAATGTGTTACCAGGAAGGTCAATACAAGTACATGCATTGGAACAGATTGTAAGGCTAAATTGAAACTGGCCTGCACCTGTGTCAAAACTCACCTCAACCCCTTAGCCATAAACTTCCACCTATGGTTTGCTTCTGATGATGCCAGCTGTAAAGTGTTGGGGGCAAGGATAGGAGGTGTTCTATAACAAGTCACTGTACACTTCTGCATTATCTTCCAGGATCTCAAACCTGTCAAAGAAGAGGAGAGCATAGAAGTGAAGATAGAAGTGGAACCTGATGACAAGCAGAACAATAAAGATGAAAAAGGAAAAGAAACAGAGGAAGATCCAAATACAGTGAAAAAATTGGAGGAAAAACCAGTAGAGGCTTCTGCAGAGAGGGCTGATAGTGTAGAGCATTTTGCTGTGCCTATTGAGGGAAATACTGAGGAAGAAAAGAAGGAGGTAAAATTTGAGAATGTAGAGGGTGGGGATGGTGAGGTCAGAACAGACCGTGCTAAGGAAGAGGAAGCAGAACCAAGACAAGATCAGACTATGCCACTGATCAGTGAGACTGTGGTCACCAATGAAACAGAGACAAGTGAAGATTACTCAAAGTATCAGCTTGATGATGAGTTGCCTTGGGCCATTTATCGTTCAATGGATACTCCTCCACAGAAAAACCCCATAGAGGAAGATGATGATTGGCCAGTGTCTGAGGATGATGAAGATTATGGTAATATGTTGTTTCACTTAAGTGTGGTCAGCAAGCTAATGAAAAAATTTGCATCATAAACAATATTATCATATCATTTTTAGGGCTTCCTCTATTCCAAGATATTAATGATTTGACCTTACAAGCTTCTTTCTCCAGATTCTTTTATTTTAATGAAAATGTTCTATCTTAAGTGGTAATAGCTGTTTCACATGCAAAACCCTTTTCTCCAAGGACTCAAGTCTTTTATCATACTCTGTATTGTGCCAAAGTGGTTCTTTTTCTGAGTTGCTGATTTCATACTGAGACAAAAGTGATTATGATCACAATTAATGAAAAACAATTGAATTCTAAACTAGGTTGAATTATTTCTTTGCTGGTGTAGTTGTTGTTTAGGAATGTGGCATCAGAATATCAGTCTTGAAATCAGCAATTTTCAGTTTAGTGTAGAAATGTTTTAATTATTTTTTTTATTGCATAATTTTTCACAATCCAAATCTGTTCCATTATAGCACCACCCAAGAATGAGGATCTCCCTGACCTAGACATGTTGATGGGAACATTAGATGGAGGAGAATCTGAACTGGAGACAACCGCATCACCCCCACCACTCATACTTCCTGAGGAGAAGCATGCCAAGCAGCGACGCATTGATGAGCTCAAGCAAGGGCTTGCTAATGAGCCAATTGAACTTTATGATGAAGAGTTTGAGAAGAGAATGGAAGATGAAGTACTAATGATTGGAAACATTTCACTAGAGATGGTTCAGGTATAACATAAAAAGGTTAAATTTTTTATTGTAAAAATTTTCTACCAGTTCAATGCTTACATTTGCTTTGTTTCATGATAATGATCAAATGATAAGGAATAGCATGCAAATCACAATTGCGTACAGTATACCAGTAGCTTCCCAATTTATACAGTGAGTGTTTTGAGCTTTTTGTGTTACCTTATACAATTATATTGCGTGGCAATACTTCCTCCTTCCTTCCTTAGTGGAGGCACTGTGGCCTCATGCTTGGTGCGCTTGACTCCAGATTGAGTGGTCCCAGTTCGAGCCCTGGCCAGGGTCATTGTGTTGTTTTCTCTGCCAAGACACTTTACTCTCATAGTACTTCTCTTCACTCAGGTGTACAAATGGGTACAAGCAAATATGCTGGGGGTAACCCTGCGATGGACTAGCATCCCATCCAGGGGGGAGTAGCAATACTCCTAGCTGCTTCATGCCAAGGAAACCGGAGTTAAGCGCTGACCCCATGGGCTACATGGGCCTGTATAAAGGCTTTACTTCTCATACAAGTATATTGCACATGGCAATACTTCCTCAAGAAAAAAAAAATTGTTCAAATTACTTTAAAATTTTTTTATAACATCTGCAATCAAGCTAGGAGACCAGTTGGGAAATGTGCACATTTACAAAGAAGCTTTTTATTTACTTGTAGGAAGAGGAGCGTCGACTTAGAGATGAGCACATTGCTTATCAACAACAGCAAGCCAAGACACAGCGTGAGAGACAGGAGGATATACTGGAAAGAGAAGCTAAAGCCAGGAAGGAAGTCATGAGGGTTGTTAGAGAGAAACGCAAGCGGCTGCAACAGAGAGAGGTACAAATAGACAAATAGTTCACTGTTTGACTGTGAGATACTTGTAACAGATTAAGAGAGAGGGTAAATAGGGAGTTTGGTTGTCTAATAAAGAAAGATATCTAATAATTCTCATAAGCAAAGGACTAAGAGCAAATCTGAACCTCAGGGAGATCTTTCTATTTGAGAATGAAGAGGCTCTGTGAGCTGAGCTATAGAGATAACATGGTTTGGTGTGTGAGTAATGTACATGGTTCATATGTGACAAGCACTCTGATTATACACTGGTGATAAGTCTTTTACAGTCTGTTTCTCCTCATTCTTCTTCTTCTCTATATTATAATCATTAAGATTATAACCAGTGTGTCTGTCACTGCCATCATCATCCATATATCATTACATTCTGTTTGATACCATCTAGCAACCAATAGGGTTTCCTTAGATGGCTTAGGATTTGTCAAAATATTTAATTAGAACTAGACAGCCAGATCCCATTGAATAGTATTGCTATTAGACTGAATTAGCAAATTTACACTTTGGCACATAAGGCTATCTTTTAAAACTTCCTAATTCAAAGCTACAATTTGTTCCTGGTAATTTTTCAGGATCTTTTGATGCAGCAAGATCGACTGATACAGAACAGGATACACAGGGCATTCCGCCGAGCTGAGGAACAATTACTTAAGGCCCTGACAGCAAGGAAAGGAGAAGTTAAGGTGAGTGTGCTCTGTTGATTTGATTATGAGTAAGAGGCAAAGAGAATTGTAAAGGATGGCTTAGGATAGAGAAGATCAACATGTAGGGTAATGAATCCTCAAGAGGTACATAGTATGCTGTAGCTTCTTTTTGTGATCATTTTAATGACATTTTACAAATGGATACTCACTCTTCCCTTACTGTGTTTGATTTGCATCAATTTTCCTATTCCAGGCCATGTATGGAGATTTGATGTTAGCTGATGGCCAGTATGGAGGCAGCAAAGGCAGGCGCTGGAAAGTTGATTGGAACAGAACCCCACAGCCAATACAGATTAAACTGAAGTGTTTACGAGGAGTCAAAGACAAGTTACCAGGTAAACCACAAAAAGAGCTATGAATAAGAACTTGCAGAGTAAATTTTGATGTACTCATAATCAGTTTACTAATTTTAGAAAAGCAGTTAATTTTGTGAGGATTTCTAAATGTGTAATGGGCAGATTTTCTCAACTTGATCTCAGCACAAGGAATTTGTTAAGGGATGTTCTGATTTTTATGATCTAGGTGGTAGTTTGCTTTGGAAGTTTTATGTTGTCCATGTCTCATGAGTCTCTGATCCTTCACAGCCCAAAACATTCTATTTTCAAGTTATAAACAAACATAGCACATTATATGGTTTTCATTTCTTCCTTCCTTTAGCTGGTCGCTATGTCCTCATGGTGTCTCTATATGATCGCCTGGGGGGCCATGTACTTAAGTGGTCAAATCTGAAAGGTCAGCAGTGGGGAGGGGCAACATTACCTCTGCAGCATGATGGAGAATTCTTTAACATTGAAATTAAGGTTGGTTTGACAAAACATACAGTGTACATCTCTTGATGAACACATGAATAACTCTTTAAGTAATGGTCTGCACAAGAAGTAGGCATGAAACAATGGGTGAAATCCAAAAACAGCCATTAAACATCCTTTTATCAAATCAAAATCCCTAAGATGCATTGGCTGTTTACAGCTTAAGCATGAAATTTGAATTGTGAAAAATTGTGGGAAATGCATTTTTGATGATCTTGATGATATCTATATGTTAACAATGTTAGAAACTACCTGACAGTGGAAGAAAAGAATCTTACAAAATGGGGAAGACTCTTTTTTTAACAATGATGTTATTAATTATTGAAGTACACCTTGCAGTGAGTCGCCCTCATTATTTTTTGGCACACATCTATTGATATTGGCAAAATCCAACAGGAACCATCTCCAAAGCCAAAAAAAAGATTTACCCACCTAGTCCTAGTCCTTGTGAAAACTCAAAACAAACAAAACCCTGATATCGCACTTTTGTGAACAAGATGAAAACTGTAGAGAAAGATTTACAGTCTAATATGGTGGCAGAAGGGTGAGATATCATTCCCACAATTAGAGCCAATTCCCCATATTCCATGGTTACAATGCTCAGCATCTACAATGTTGATGACACAAATACCAAAATTTGCACTAAAAATAGTAAAAAAAAATCATTTTATCCAATATTTTTTGGGTGCAGGCATCTTAAGCTAGTATGCCTTTAAAAGCTTAACAAAGAGAAGTGTTATTTTTTTAATTCAGATTTATATTGATGTTCTGTTAAGATCAGGGAAATATAAATGAAGGAGATCTTTGAAGTTGTAATACTAACATTTAAGAAGTAGACAGATGGTTGAAATTTTGTCATACTGTCTCATAAAATGGGCCTTAACTGCTTAACAGATTGTCTACCACTGAACATATCAAGAGTTACTGACTGCATGAGTGAAAATGTTGTAATCAAATTTGGTTGATATTGTGTGATGTTATATATTGTAATAATACATGTATTAATTCATTATATGAGGAACACTTTTACATATGAAGTCACTTCTTTATTATGTTGAAAGTTAAAGTTTCAGATGTGATAACAATATTGTATGGATGTTGAAATGCAGTAGCTTAATTAGTATAGGTAACACCATGATTTCAGGTGCAATTGGTGTTAATAAGCACAGGTGAATTTTTCAAAGACAACAAAATTGCACAAGCTTGTAGGGTGAGTGCATTAAATCTTGAAGTTACATGTCAATGATTTACATGAAAAACTCATCACAGAAAGTCAACATTTTAGCATTGTGTGCTATTTGTAATTTGCACTGGTATTGCAACTTTGTACTCATATTACAACTTTGCATTTGTGTTACATGAAAGATGCACTTGTTTCAGCCAATCAGATGCACATAATTTTTTCATGTATATTATGCACACTGATACTTTGCTCCCTTATGTACTCCTTTGTAGATGAAAGCATCACTCATATTATTACATCATACTCCTTTTGCAGATTGATCAGAGTGTGTTCACTGTGTGTCCCTCCAGACCTGATGTGCGTCCAGGCATGATTCTGGTGTTTGAGCTTTTTATTCTTAGGGGAAGTGTCACAGCCACAGATAGGGTGGTAGGATGGGGATGTTTCCCCATTTCTGATGGAGAGTTTAACATCATTGATGGAAAGTAAGTTCAAAGTTAATTCCAGTTGATAAGTCTGTGCTGCACTTTCAAATCACTCAGCCAGCTGGCAGTTGTGTAATGCAGCACTCAAATTTCAAGCAGTGCAGTGGATCAATTTTGGCAAGGCAAGCTTCAACTTTCCATACAAAAGTGTATACAAAAACATAAGAAACAACAGGCATTATGCAAATTTTTAGAGAAAAATTGAGAATTTAGTGGAAATCTGTGAAAGGACGTCGCAAAGTTTATTTACCCATTACTATGGATATCTTGTTGATCTACCATTTTATTTTTAGCTGTAGTAGAAAAGTTAAATACATCTTTTAACACAGTTTTAAGTTGAAAGTTGCCAATGTAGTTCAGTGTTAAAGCAAAGTGAAATGCTGGACAGAATTTCTTCAGACTGAAAACTTTCTACAGCAACTCATCAAAAGGATGAACCTGCACATAGTAGTTTCCTCCTTATTTTCTAAGAAGCTAATAGGGTCAAATTTAAATCCATCCATTTCATTTTGCACACTTTTAGGTACAAGGCTCCATTTCTTCGTGGTGACATGGATCCCACAATTGATAAACATGAGACGATTGAAGAGTTGATGGCTGATGATCTTGAAAACTGGCTGTGTAACCTGTATTTTGAAATTGTCAAGCTACCTCGGTAAGACACGTAGTTCGTTTGCCAGCCATTTGGTTTATTACTTCTGAGCTTGTTTTGATTTTCATGGCATCG